TTGGGGAGGAAATCCCCTGGAACCCTCAGCGGCTGACCGTAGACCATCTCAGCCGTGGAGCACTGCAGATCCTCCTTGGGCGCGGTCCTCAGGCCCAGCATCGCCTAAGGCAGCTTGTCGACCCAATTACCGTCCATCAGGCCGGCNCAGCGGCTGACCGTAGACCAGGGGTGTCAAACTCAAGGCCCGGGGGCCAATTCCGGCCTGCGACTTCATTTGATGTGGCCCGCAAGAGCTTGCAAAGATTCTTTGCAAGCTCTTGCGGGCCACATCAAATGAAGTCGCAGGCCGGAATTGGCCCCCGGGCCTTGAGTTTGACACCCCTGGTCTACGGTCAGCCGCTGAGGGTTCCAGGGGATTTCCTCCCTTACGCATCGGCCCCCTGGTCGGCGACGGCCCAGCGAGCTTTCCTGCAAGACGCCGCTAAGGCCTTTGCTCCGATCCCCACTGCTCAGCACGGCACTCAGGTGTCCCGGGTTCCCATGGGGCTTCACTCGGCGGAGCACATGTTCATCCGGTACGACGCTCACAGAGACCCCAAGCAGCCCCCTTACGACGGGCCTTTCCGGGTCTTGGAACACGGGGGCAAGCACTTGGTGGTCGACCTGGGTGGCAAGGCCGAGCACGTCTCGGTGGACCGGGTGAAGGCTGCTCACCTGGACTTGGACCAGCCGGTGGTGCTGGCACGGCCTCCGCGACGGGGCCGCCCCCCGGCCTTGACCCCTGTCACCGAATTGGGGCCTGCGGTTTCCGGTCCCACCTCTCCTGGCGGCCGCCCCTGTAGGGGTCGCCTCCCCGGCTCCCGTTCTCCGGAGTCGTGGTGGTCGGCCTGTCGTTCCTCCCCGCCGCACAGACTTTGTGTATGGGTGAATTCTGGGGGGGCTTGTGTGGTGGAACATTATGGGACATAATTCACTGTGGTATATAGTGTGTGTTGCACCACGGAACCGATAGAGAGTGTACCTGGTGGTTGTTATCATTCTAGCTTGAGTAGCATGAATGCAAGTTATTATTACCTTCTGTAAACATAATGGAAAATAAAGTGTGGAGTTCCATACTCAACACGCCGCCTCCGACTCCCATTCATCGGCTCTACAACCTACAAAATAAAGGTGCAATATAAATATACATGAAAAGACAACATAAACACACATTCCGGCCAACACACTGTGCTGTGTATAAACCAAAAGGATGCAAGGACAACTTTGATGCTGCCTGTTTAATTTTTTAGTTAAAATGAATTATGCTGCTGTCACATTGTTGAGCAGGGGAAGGATGTGTCGGATGTGAAGCGAGTAGAGTAAGCATGCCTGCCTGTGTTTAAAAATGATTGATTAAGCTGACACCAGCTCAGGGGTGCAACACCGCTCTATTTTTCTCCCTCATTATGTAAGGCTATATTTCAAATCAGGAGTGCACTGGAGGAAGACACCAGAGACACCAGATAGGACACCCTTCAAATAAAAAGTTTATCAGACAACAGCCAAGGAGACTGATGAGCTTTCTCTCTAATCTAGTCTTGGGAGTGGCGATAGAAAATAGAAAGAATGTTGTTTGTCAAAGGATAACAAAAATAGCTTTGACCAGTTTTGCCACCAGCCCTCTTTGTACGTTTGTTAATTTTAGGAACATATTTGTTAAAATGTCCACTCATAATCAGGTAGAAGGTTACATGTAGACTATGCATTTTTAATGATGTATTTATGTTTTAATGAAAAGATAAGCTTGATGTTTTCACCAAGATTCATTCATTCACTCAGATTACTGCAAAAATGTTGTTCTTTATTTGAAGCAGATTCAACCTTTCTCCTTGTACTGCACTAGTTGTCTATAAACGGCAAGAACAAAATATGAATCCTCGGAATGACTTTTCTTCCCTGCGGACATGCTGACATATCTTTGTTCCCTTACAAATCGGACATCAGAACCCCGAGCCCAGCAAACATTCAGTTCTTTGCATGCTCATGCAGTGCAGAGTGCCAGAGTGTAATGAAAGAGACATATTAATGGCCTTTCACTTATTCATGCATTGGAAATGAAGAGGCACAGTCACATTTTGAAACGGTTGACAGAATAAAGAGCCAACATTGGGGAAATGATTGTATTTATGATTTCACGCTGACATATGAAGGTATCAAGAGAGAGACAGAGTGACACATTTCTGACAGTTCAAAGTGTTAAATGATGTGATGTATGGCAACATACTCGAGCACGGGGGCACCCGCTCTTATATATTTTCTCTTTAAGGATCAGCGCCTCACAAGTGCAGACCTGGGAGGCAGCTGAAGTCATTTATGTCTTTCCAGCAAACAGGGGGAAGTACTGTATGTTGTACATTATATACACATAAATAATATCATGGTTGAACTGCAGGAGAGCTACTTACGAGGTTGGCTTTACACTTGTTTGATTTTGGCAAACGCAGATAAATCCACAGTCCACTCTGATGTGTGCAGCGTCTCCCCAATAGCACCACCTAGCAGCAGCTAGACCACAGTAAACCCATGTGTCCACTCCACATGCCTGCATGAAGAGGAATTCCTTTGTTAAAATCATCATGAGCTTATCAATATGATTCATTATTTATTCTTCCATTTCAAAGTTTTGTTCAGGTCACATTAGCGCAGATGTAGTACATAAGACTGCTGATGATCTCTCAACATCATCTGTTCTGCCTTTCTTCTACATTAAAACCTGAGCAGAAAATTGAGATTTACATTTATTGTTGGTAACGATTACACATTTCTAGTAATTTAATATTGCCAGTACTAGCTGCAACCTACGGACTAAATTAGGATATGTCTTAGGTAACAGACAATTTGATGCTGAACGCTTTAGCATGAAATCAAGACAGCCAAAGTTGCCATACTGCACGCATTCATGCTTGGTGATACTAGATAAAAGTTAGAAACAAATGCAGTCAATTAATATTTAATATAAGTGTAAGGTTTATATTGTAATATAGTGAACATAAGATTATTATACACTTAATTGTGTAAAAAAACTTTGAGACAGGCGAAGGAGTAAAGATTTGCGGCTCAGAGTGAACTCTTTTCTGTCAAAGCCATTTGACTCATGGCGTGTGCGTAGAGTTCATATGACTGGGGACCAGAGTGATTTTCTCAGTTAAAAATCAGCAGGTGAAAAATGGCGTGGTTATTTGTGCCTGACAGAAGTTAAGAGCTTTTCCCTGAGGCCCGCTGCCTCCCTGCTGACCGCAAGGCAGCCTTCTCCTCCAGCATCCACTCACCTTGTGAGATCACACCTCTACACCGGCAGCTGGAGCGCACATCCCATAACTCCACAGCAACACATGTAGCTTAAGGACTCTTTTTTATTTCTGTTTGAAAGTTTGTGTGTCTGTTTTTGTTTGTGTGCCATGTTCACAGAAGTTGAATGCGGAGGATAGGCAGGTAAATGAAGTGCAAGGTCATGGTTTTGTACGTGTGTAATTAGTAGTGTAATTGCTGCCGGGATCTAAGGCAGATGGGAGAATCCTGTGTGGCATGAACGGGTCCCACAGGAAAAGATCAAAGCAGTGTCTGGGGAAGGAGGACCTCGATTAGAGTTTATGTTTTATAAGGTTCAGAGGATAGAAAAAAATCCCATATGCAGAATAAAATATTTAACAAGGACCTATACATGTATAAAGGTATATAGATTTCAGAAGCCACAGAAAAGTTAACCTAACAGTACTGAACACTGGCAATCCAGTCACTGTCCATAATAAGAATAATTATAATAAGAAGTCCAGAATTATAACACAGTAATTTAAGGAAATAGTTGTCACATAGATCATGTTACATACAGTACATGTCTTATAATAAGGCCATAAGCCATGCAGGCAGACTTTTAAAAAATATTTAAAAACGTACAGCTCAAATGTGTTTTGCCTTTTTCTCAATGTTGTGTGAATTAACATGCTGTTAACAAGAACAACATCATAACAAATAAAATATCCAACAGAGTGTAATTTGCATATCACAGCAAAAAATGTTTTGACTCGTCAGTCACCGAAGCCGATGGTCGCCAGCCGTTACTGCTGCTGTGATGACGAGAACAAGACAGCGGCACAATGCCTGCCTGATCCTATCTGACTTTCTTTGCCCATTCCACATTACTGTGCGGTCTGTGATGTTGGGCGGCTGCTAATTTAGCCTTTAGCTTCATGGTACCGTAAATCACAACACTCAGGAAGACAAATGTCAGAACACATGTTGCCAGACTGTCTGTGAGGAGAAGATTCCTTTAATTGGGTGTGCAGGGACTGGGTCCAATCCCCAGCACCCTCTTCTTCCTCCTTCCTCACTCTCCCTCTCTCTTTGCCTCTCTCAACATACTAACAAAAGGCAGAGAGATGAAAAAGACAGCGCCAACCCATCCCTGCTTTGTGCCATTATAGAACAGACACACTAGGGGTAAAGAGGTACGATGCTGAACATCAAGGAGAGCTTTATATAACTCTCTTTTTATTCGCCTTGTTTCATGTTTATTTTACTTCTTCAAGCTATCATGTCTGATTGACACTGCTCCCTGTCATAACAACCATTATTCATCGAACCAGCTTATGGAATACAGTGATAGCTTCTGGATATATTTGTCTGAGTTTAGGAAAATGTGTAAAGAATCAAAAATGCTCTCCAAAGTATGTTCGGTGTCATCTCATCATCAGTGTTATGATTCCACCCTTCCCCTTCCTCCGCTCACGCACACTCTGAACTTCAGCAGAGGGAATAGAGATCATAAAGAATAGATATTCAAAGGCTTTAACACAAAAAGACTTTCCTCAAAGCCGGCTTCTCTCTGGATCCGCCGGGCGAGGGAGGGTGAAATGTCCACACAGAGAAATCACAGGGCTAAAGTCAAAAGAAGTCATTTTAATTCTGTTAACATCTGTTGTTCACAGTTTAGATATCATTAGTGATGGAGCGGCAAATGTTTATTTCATTATGTGCTGCAAGATCGTGTGTACCAAAGGAAAAGTTATTCTTTGGCCAAGATTTTGGTTCAAATGATTAAACCTTGTTGTACTCATAAACCATACTCTGAAAAATAAATAAAACTAATACAAGGGTAGTACCCAAGCAATTCCCTCATTAGCAACAACAACTAATAAAGCAAAGTCAAAGGTTACAGACACACTCAATAATATTCAGACTGAGCTGAAAATACTTGATGGATATCTAGTAACAACAAATCTAAATGTAATATGCTCTATGAGCCAAGTTTAATTATCACATGCTTCCCTCTGAGCAATCCTTTCCCGAAACTTAAAGGATTTGCTAAAATAATCATAATAAGTTTGTATTTTTTTTTCACGTGTGCATGGAGTTTCATGAGCTCAGTTTGACTCAATGCAGATTACAGGTTGTAATGTTAAGTTGAGCTGTGATACCGCTGCAGGTAAATAGGAATATATTGCTTATAGGATTGATGAAGCTGTTCTGAACGAATCATATCCATCTTTTATCATGTCTCTCTCCTAGCAAAACCTGGAAATGGAATGTCTTATTTAATAAGAAATAAGAAAAAAGGGAGCTGAAATATAAGCTACTCTCACTGGTGATGACGGTGGTCCACTGATCTTTAACTTTTCAATGCTGTGTTTTGATGACTTTTTACAGTAGTACTATTACAGTAGCAAATATTTAATGTACGCCATATACTATGCAATCTGTTAACCCCCGAGCCTGTTTTTCAGGTCTCAGGCTCGAAAATGACATTCCCAGAACAAATGACTATATCTTCACTTCTAAAAGGGGTTAATTAATAATCTTTTTTCTCAAAGCAATGATGAACCTGTGAGGTGGATGTAGAAAAGTCAGAATAAATATAATTTTTTTAATTTTAAAATAAATTCAGATTG